TACATATCCACATCATACTACAGAAGTCATAAATGAATACAGCAGCAGCACATGATTATTACCAAAAAAGTATTTTGGAAAACACTAATGAAGTTAGCTGAAACTGAAGATTTTAAAGAGGTAGTAATTTTTAAGACCTACATAGCTCTTCAATTCAAGGGATTACAAAGCGCTTCATATACAAAAGTAGCAGCCATGTCTACGGAGTAAAAGGCTATGACAGTAGTTTTTAATATACGGTTATGGCAGCTTTGGCAAAGAAATATTTTGGCTAGAAGTTTTCATCATGAATCTTTTTTTTATTCGTATTTAAATGCTAATTTTATACAAATACTCTTGAAGATGTAATAGGCCCTTATTTCAATATTAGCAATGAGTACAGCACACAAATGCATTGACTTAGTCATTTTAAGATTAGAATCTTGTCATTGCAGCCAGCAACATCCGGATTATAAAAACATGTTAATAGAAGGAGCAAATAATTAATTTTAATGTTTCTATTAACAATGAATGTATAATGTAATAAATGCTAATCTAATAATGAGATTCCTGTATACTCAGCAGAGATTCTAAATGCACAGTAGAACATTTATTCAGTAAATTTATCCAATTATCTTCTCATCTCAGATAGTCCTCTAGGCTTGCCTGCAATTAGTAAGAAGATATAGGGATCTTAATGTCATCTAATTTAAACACCCATTTTATGAACAGGATTGATCACCTCTCTCCATCACCTACAAAGTTTAAAACAGATGACTAAAAACAGATAGCATTAATCTCACCTCCAAATGAATTCTAAAAAGTACCACAATTACAAAGAACAAAGAAAATGGGTAAAAAAAAGATTCAAATTATAAAGATTAATGGATAGACTAAAAGAAGTCTTCCAAAATGTATACATGGCTCGCAGCTGACTGGAAAGAAAAGCATTAAATAGGTAAACACAAACATACAGAGAACTTTTTGTATAGTTTTTTTAACTTAGGAAGCATAGACAATTGCTATCAAGAAATGTCAGTGACTTTTATTCTATTTTGCTTTTTATTTGAGAAAGGCATTTCTAAATAGAAACACTAAAAATACTCCTAAAGGTATTTTTACCTGTAGCAGATTGTCCATTACAAATCTAATAGTTTTAAATAGCTGAGCTATATGCATCAATCCAGAAATGTTTCAATAATAATCCAAAATCCTTTGAAATCTTTGTAGAACAAACCTAAGACTCTAAACTATCTTTTGTAGCCATCATCCTGACTTTAACTTAACCCAACTATAAAAACATTGTTTAAAAATGCCCTTTCATCATCTGTCCATATTCAAACAGGGAAAAAAAAAAAGTATATACTTAAAAATATCCTATTACCTCATAGACAGAGGCAGGAATTTAAACCTCCTGTTAGCTTTTACAAAACTGAGGGTTTTTATAAATAGTGCCCACTGAAAAGTTGAAGGAATAGTATTGCCATAACACAGTTTTCTTGAGTATACTATTTCTGTTTACTGCATACTTATTTTGTTTCTCTTCATTTTTCTACACTTCTCATTTTGTCATTACAAACACAGGAAAAGAAAAATCACCTTGAGTACATCATGTGAGCAGCAATCGACTGTAACAGAGTACAGATTTTTTTTTGTCACTAAGAAAAATAAGATTTTGTAAAAATCACACCATCTATGGATTTCCTTTGTGTTCCCAGTAATTCTGGAATTTTTGAACCAGTTTCCACTGATAGAGCTGAGCTGCACAGTCACGGAAAAAGTCATTATACTCCTTAAGGTTTAAAGGAAGTGAACAATCAAAGGCAAGAGATGGCTCTTGTAGGCATCCCCTGAGGTGAAGTGCTCTTGTACGAGTTCACCCCATATTAGACCTTAGAGTCCACTTTCAACAAAGGAACCATTTCAGTTTGATGTTGCACCTTATATGAAACTAGAAAATTTAACCAGTAGGAAAAAAACTGATAGGAAACCAGGATGCATTTGTTCTACTTTTTGGTGCTGGTTTTTGTTGTTGTTATTTTGTTGGGTTGGGGTTTTTTTGGCAAGAAGGGAGTAATGGATTCACAGCCAATAGTTTGAAAATAACATTCCAGGAATATTCAAGAGAAGGAAAAGTTGGAACATATCTAGTATCTACACTTTACTATGTAGTAGATGATGGAGCTATTATAGAATTGCTCTCCTCATTCAACCCCAAGATATTTTCAATTGAGGTAATATAGCTTTAAAATTAGAAAAAAGTCTTAGTCACATTACCAGAAGTTTAAAACAAAGTGAAAATGTTTCCATTTGGTCATAATTTTTTTAGAACATGTGTGACATTGACCACAGTTAATCCAAAATATCAAATCAGTTAATTTTTTTTCATCATCACAGGTAAATGAAACATGGATTCGCACACAGTATTTACAGCTGTATAATAGCACAGAGAGCAACAAAACTTGCATCCTGCCATCATAGTGGTCTACTTTAAGGTTGAAAGAGCAGATTCTTTCTCAATATAACTCCTTCATGAATATTATCGCTTTGGTATTTTCTTGGCATTTGTAAATAGCTGTTTACAAAAAGCTATCACAAACATCAGTAAGAAAAATGAAAATAACTGCACTTGACTAGAAAATTGGGTATTAGTTACACTTCTGATCACAAGATTTGCCAGGGGCTTTTTTTAACCACCATTCAGGCCAGTCAACATTCCACATACTTCTGAAGCTTTCAAACATGTTTGTTTATACAGATTATGATACCAGTGGTAACTACGATGAGTCACCTTGTTTTCACTGAAGTAGAACTAGCTGTTATAATCACTTAAATATGGACAACACAGGTATTCCTTTTTTATCTTAGGTGGTTCTGGTGATATTAGAAAATTTCTTTGTTCCACAGAAGTGCCACATGTCAGTCCACAGTAAATTCAGAATTTGGGGTCTTTTAATTAAAGGCGCTTATTCCATCTCATCATGCCAGTTTGTTACTTTGCAGTTCATTTAGGTAGACGATTTGAAATGTGGAAAAAGTCACAGTGTTGCCACCTGTCCTGTGGTTAGAAGGAAGGTAGTTTTAAAGAGAGACACCTACATTTTAAAGATGGGAAATATGGGTTTTCCATTTTCCCAAACAGAAGTTTCTTCTCTGAAAAGCACAGTCTCCTGAGGAATAATCTACTTCTTTGAACTCCAAAAAACAGTATTAATCAACTTATTAATTTATTTAAATTGAGGATGGTTTTATTTAATTAGAGAGCTTAACACTAGAAAAAGCGACAGGAGGACAGAAGCATGAGTATATCAAACAAGATGACAACAAATGATATATTACTAACTTTCTTTTTTTCCCCTCTAAAGCTTGCATTTTAAAACCTTCCTGTGTTTCTGATTGCAGGGGAACTTCCCTCCTCAAAAAAGCAATGATATGAAAAAAATGACACATTATATGAGTGGGAATACAGCAGAATAGAAAAGTAGTTTCTCCATGGTTCTTAACTTTAAAAATAAATAAGATAAGAATTATAAAGTTGGTATTTTCATTAAAAACAAGAAAGTGTGCATACTCAAATTATTGTACACCAGACCTACTTTCCAGAAGAGCTTCCAGTTAGATATGAACTCCCCACATGTCATAGTAAGTCTTATCACAGTGAAAGGTAGGAGTCTCATCAGAAAGAAACACATAGTTGGCTCACATTAGCATTTTATTTTGACTCAGGAGATTAGTTTTGAACCAAGTTTCCTGGTTGTCCCCACTTAACCAGCTTTGATTTCCACATTTTGATTTGCATTGTGGAGCCATCATCTCAGAGTTAGCTAACTGAATTCCTTTTTGAGAATCCAACCTACAATGCACTCTAACCACTAAAAGGCATTCAGCACCATCGGGCCCATTCAGCCCAAACTAGAATTAATCTGAAGTTAAACCCCTAAAACTCAGTGTGGATATTGAGTCCTCTGACTCATCTCGTTTACTCTAGAACTGCCCCTATTGTTTCACGCCACTAGTTAGCACTGACATTTTTTTCAGTCCTTTGTGGCTATGTCGGGGCAATGCTATTTCTTCAGTAACATCACCACTGCAATTTAGGAGTTACACATAAAAATTCAAAGCTTTAATTAATTTGTGTCTATGCTTAAGCTAACAACGTTTTAACAGATTACTACCTGTAATCAAAAACAATTCCAAGCAAAAACATTTCACATCAAGTACTTTGAGCAGATGACTAGGTGGCACAGTTGGTTCATGAACTGACCCTTTTTATTTTAGAAAAAAGATGTGGATTAAACAATGAATCAAGTTCAAAATTAAGGACACACTATGAACTTACCCAGAACAGCTTTGATTACTGTCCATAGTTTTCAGTTACCTCATAATTTACCACAGCTAATATTCTAAATTTACAAAAAGTGAAGACAAGTTGCTACAGAGCAGGATAGTAAGACTCCTTGTGAACAGGCAGAAAATCAATCATATTTTCCTTCTCCACGTGAATAAATTGTACATTTGTATAGACACTATGTTTTACACACGGAATATGAAAGACTGAGAAGAAACAGCAGTAAGAAAAGAAGCATGTAGCAAGCATACCTGTTCATGACTACTGCTCTCTATCCACACTTTACCAAAACTATTAATTGAAGTAATCATACAAGATAGTTTTCTACTCCCAACTAAAGAAAAAAACCCACAGAACAGGTTCAGAGTTTGACCACTGCTACTGTACAGTATGAAATCCACATTCTTGCCATGAGATGCATAATTATGTTTGCTTGTCTTTACAGGACTGTAGGAGAAGAATCAAACTTTCATATTGTTACTGCACTGGTAATGGAAAAAAAAAATACAACTAGAATTAAATCTGTAACTTCATTTAAACAAAATGTTTGTAATTCAATTTATTCTTCATAAGCAGAAAGCCAAAGCAGTCATTCTACCTACCTAAAACTCCTTAGATATAAATATAGTTATACCTTTAGTTTTTTTTAATATGCATTTTAAAAGATACTTACTGTTCTAAGAGTTGATCATATTTTCTTAAAGCATCCTTTTCAGCAATAACTGCTCGTTCTTTTTCAGCGACAGCATTATCTCTCGCTTCTCTCAAATTTCTGAAGGAAACAAAAGTTACTCTGTCAAGAATCTGTTAGGAAAAGACTGTTTTGCTTCATGAATTACTACTAACTGATCTTAATTTCAATACTACCTTCTTCAGTTCTCATTGAATGATAGAGGGGTCTGTCTATCTATATGCCTATTCATTACAGAGGCTTTACTTCAGATTACTTTCATACTTTTTACCAGCAAAATTTCCAGTTCTGAAATTCTAAAAACAATGATCAAACCACCTATTTGTATGTAGAAATATAGGAATAATTCTGGAATATTAAAACTGTAAGTGATTTAATTTTTGTAGGAATTAAATAAATTTCAATAATTTTGCTTGGTACTTCACTAATAACTAGGGGAATGCTGTCTTCCTAGCTGAGATGATTCACAACTTTTATGATAGAGCACGAATAGATTAGCTAGGCATAGAAATCCTACTTCCGCATACAACTAATTGGCTAGTTAGTCCGATACACAGGTTATTGCATATCATTGATGTCTCCTTCTGGCTTCTATTGCTGGCAACATTTTTGATCTGCACAGAACCATAAAATAACAGAAACATTTTATTGCAATCAATCTATACTTTTTCAATTTTTTAACCAAGAATCAGTCAAGACTTGCAAATTCTCATTCTTATTTCACTGACACAAATGAGAATAGTATCATGTGAAGAATAACACATATAGTATTTGTGTTAAAAATTATATAGGTATTAATAGTCTGTTCATCCGTAGTCTGCCTATATAAGCTGTAGTAAGTGGAAGTATTGCTTAGGGTTAGACAGTGCTGCTAGGTTGTATTTAGTGCAAAATAGTAACAGTCAATTTGCAGAGCAAACAGTGGTTGTTGAAGACAAGACACCTACATTATGACCATTTTTGAAGATTTAACTTTAAGCTACTTCTGGTTTTCTCCTGTGACCTGAACACCACTAGCATTTAGAATATATTAGGTGATCTTAGAGACTACTTTCAATTTTGTTTCATCTAAAAGGAATCCTGTTCATGTGCTACAAATGTGAGCACAACACCACAAATTCAAACACAAACTGTGAGGCAAGCAAAAAATGTGGCAAGTAGCAATGACTAGGGGGTTTCACTTCAAAACCACATTCTTCATCTGAACTAAACTGTTAATGAAGATCAACCAAGCTCTTCCCACTGAAGTTGTTTCTTCCTCCCTTTCCCCACAGGAACTTTTTGACTTAAAGCAAAATGAAATTATAGCCTCAGGCAAATTTTGAAGAAAAGAAAAAAGTCAAGATATAAAGGTAAATGGAAAATTATTAAGCCCATGTAAATGTTATCCTAGGTCATTGTAGCCACACTTAAGGTATATAATTTTTGGATGAAAGACTATTTTCTATACTAAAGAAATGTTATCAATGGTACTTTTCTGAACTCAAAGTAATTCATATGAATAGGAAATAGTTACTTATGAAGAATCAACATCACAATTACGTAACAGTTAACAATCTACCGATGAAATTCAGGGATTGATCTTAGTAGATTCTTTAAAACTGACTCATACCAAAATATAAGAACATGGTAATTAATTTTGTTAACAGCATTAAGATCAAGCATATTATGTCTCAGAGTAGGAGTGCAATGTTGTATCCTTACGACTAGAGGAATCGAAGTGGGATAAAAATTAAATGGTAGGAGATATACAGCAACTCATTTAGACAATAAACTATTCTGCTTAACTGAATAGCTCATCAGTTGAAAATGCAATAGAAGGAAAAAGGACACAAGCGAGGCACTACTCAACCAACAAGATGACAATCACAGATGTGATGTAACTTCTGCTGAAATATTTTCAACAGAACTAGGAAACACACTAGCGATACTGCCAGTTTTCAGATAGTGTGATTGCAATTTTAAAAGAGGTAAAGCACCTGTCTGATGGCTGCACATACAGGCCATATGGACCATCAGGTATCTAGCCGAGCCTATCATACAAGTGAAAGCACCCTTCTAAAATGGGACAGAAATATTAACTACAGATTCATGAACAGATACAGAAGAAAAACAGGTGGGATGAGGGCAGGGGAGGGGAAGCAGAAGCACAAGGGCCTCTATATTAGCTTTTGAAATAAACATTTAGCAACTGCCATTTACTGCACTTCAGTTCACATCTCTAAACTATTCTAGAGTGCACAAATTGGATTCCAGTCAGATTGAACCAAGTCAGAAGATGTGCTCATGGAGAGCATCTAACATGCTCAAAACTACTACATTCTGTTTGATCTATGGGAACAAGACTACAGCTAATCCAAAGTCAAACCTCATGCAGACATTCACATGCCCTGTGAATTCACTCACACTTGCTAATGTAAATATAGCCAATGCTTACTACAACCAAACAAGTGAAACTGATCCCAAATAATTTAAGAATGAAAGCATCACCTTTTTATTGGTGTGTCCCCCTCCCTCATTTTAGCTTCTTGAACTGACACATCCAAGTGGAAAATAAGTGCCAATAAATTCAAGCGAAACATCAGGCCCACCAGGATTGGCAAAGTGGTAAGGAGTAAAAGCAACTGAATATTAGATTAGCTTAGCTGTAATACCATTCCATGCTTTGAGCCTGAAGATGAAACCAGCATCTTAGCTTTATTTTCAGTCACAATCAGCATCTCATTACAGCACACAACTTCATTACAAACTGCTTTGCTCACACCTTGGGGTTCCATTTATCTCGCCATTGCGGGGCACCTCAGACTGGGAAGCACTGTCTTAGAGTGGAATTTTTTAGAATTTTATAGGAAGAGCACATGCTAAAAATCCTTTTTGGCAAAATATGAAGTCAAATCTAAGGAATTTACATTTCAGAATTAATTATTTCAAAATGAGGAGCAAAACTTCTGTAAATTGGTTCCAGATACAAATGAAATATCTTTCAGTAGCTTTCTCCATGATATACAGACCCTTGTCAAATCTCCACCAACAGTGGGGGTTTAAATTCATACTTTGTAATTCAAAATAGATTTGCATACAGGAAGTGGGGTGGATGTATATGTGTGTGTGTATATATTTTACTCACACTTGCAAAACTACAGAATGATGCAATTTTTTTTAATTAGAACCTTTTAGTTGACTGGAAGACAGACAACAGGAGTCATGTTCTTTTTTCACTCTTCCAAGCAGTAACAAAACTACCTATTAGAGGAACAGATGCTGATGCCACAAATTTTTTTACTACAGTCATTTCCTTCTCCACGAGACACTTTCAGGACATCCACCATGAAGTTATAATGAATTATTAATTCCTGTTTTAAAGGAATAAAAGGGGCAAAAAACAAGCTCAAAAAGAAATCCAGTGCCAAAAATCCAAATCTTTAGATCCCTAAAGGCTTACGTACGTGTCTAACTCTGCATGTAATTCCATGGAATTCAACAAGATGACACACATACAAAATTCAATATGCAGGTCTTTGCAGGACTAGGATCTTCTTCAAAAGAGGATTTTATAATAGTTTACGGGAAATCAATGCTTTTGTGAATCATAATCCTGTAAACAATCTCAAATAGATTTATTTTAGAAAGGCATAAGTCTTACTGGTTTCCCTCATTCTTTCTACTTTACTTTCTGCATCAACACCTTCTCTTTTGGTTTCCTGGCACAGTTTCAAGATTGCCCATATAGCATGACAGGTAAGCCGACACATTTTGTATTAACTAACTAATACTATACATCTAAACAAACTTCAAACCACTAACGTTTATCTAGAACATGAATTTTAATAATACTTTTCATTGACAGTGTTGGATGTCCAACATTTAATAATAAATATAAACAATATATTTACTGTGCAAGTATAATTTCTTTCTCTCTCTCTTTTTTTTTTTTTTTTTTTTTTACAAAATTCTCATCAGTTTCATAATTGAACTTAAATTCTCACATTTTGATCACCTCTCAAAGAGCCAGTCAACTAGGATTATACCTAAGCACAAAACAGTACTTGGTGATTTTTGCCCTAGTTATGTTATTGCCTGCATCTTATCTACCTGTTTTCACGTTCATACATCTCTTTTGAAGTGCTTCTTAGTTGCTCGATTTCTTGATTTGTTTTCAACCTTATTTGCTCCAACTCTTCATGCAGTCTCTTTTCATATTCTGTTTTATAGTGGTCTCTGTAAATATACAAATACACAACACAGGAATTTAAAATTAATTGCACTGGCCAAAATATCAAAACTTCAGGTACAGCTGTACAAGTACAGCAGAGCACTTCTTGATTTTACATTTTCTTTTAATTCTTACTCATTTTCTTCCCAAATTGCTTGAAATACATATTAGCCTATTATGCAAATTGAGTGAAAATCAATCAGGAATAAATAATATTTAATTGGGAATAAAAAAAAAGCTTTCTGCATACTGTTTTAATTTTGATTGATTAATCACACCACATTATGCTTACCATTCTTCCAGAAACTCTTTGTCAGCCTCTACATGAGTGTTTATTTTAATTAACCACTTAAAAAAAGTTAATTTCTTGCTTTCCAAAGTTTTCTAGCTTCTTTATCACTGGGTAAGGGCTGATTAACTTGTTAACTTACAATACCGCCATGGTACTACAAGATGCTGTTACAAGACTTTGTTGTGTACTATTTGTACCTGATATGGGGAAAACACACCACAAGAAACATTGAAGATTACACGTTGTGGAGATATGTGAAGTCAAAAAACCCCAAGATTTGGGAATTTATCCTGTCAATGTGACATATAAATTAATTAAAAGACATATTTAAGTTTTTAAGCAGCAGATATCAGAAAATTCCAGGATAAAAGGATTTCATTTCAGAGCAATATCAACACCTTTTTTGTAACTTTGGAAGCCCATTGCAGATTGTAGGAATCCCATAAAGAATTTCTCCTACAAAACTACAAAAAAAGGCTTATGTTGTAAGCACTTAACAGCTAAGGAATGTTAAAATTTTATAGCATCTAGTTAACGTTCAAGAATAATCAACCAGCAGTGAAGCAACTGGCAGAAATTACGGGTTTGGAAATAAAAGCATGCTTATGAAGAAATGTGCATTTACAACCATAAAAGGTTTTAGATTTCTTCCAATTTCCAATTGTGTGATAGCCCATAATTTTTAGAAATCAGTACTTGAGCTGGCCAAAAACTCCTTCACATTAACTAAAAGCCCCAAAATATTTAAATGTCAGAATGCTTGCAGTCTAGGTTTTCCTGTTTTCTTTTTATTGAGCCACTGAATTTCAGTTGACCTTCAAGGTAAAAGTAAATGTATCTCCTCTCCTTCCTCAAGTGTGCCCCACTACAGCAAAATACTTTATGAAGATCTTTGACACAATGAAGAAGTTGATAATAAAACAAACCAAAAAACAACCAACCAAACAACCAAAAAAACACCCAAAACCCACACTGTACTGGAATGTAAGGTCCCCATTAGAAACTTTTTGCAGTCTTTATGCGTTATGTGGCTCAATACACAAAGAAAAAAAAAAAAGAACGCTGAAGATCAGGACCTCAGGATACAATACTTACATGCAGAACCAATGAGCATTACCATTTTCTTGGTACTAAGACAATTTTCTATTACCATTACTACTTGCCAAAAAGAAATTTCTGTCATTGCAGAAATTACACCTTCCCTCCCATGGCAGGACTGCTAAAAGTCAGGAACGTTCACTCAAAAAATTAGAAGAATCTGGAAAAGTCTTGAACACCCACAGTGATGTCACCACAAGGCAGTTCAAAGTGATGCTTATCTTTACGATGACTAAAATAAACAAATGGTATAGTAAAGGGCATATTCTGAGTATATACCCTGACTGCCCTGCCAATGCCTTTTAATAAACACCAACTGAGTTACTGCTGAAGCAAATGACCATCATTTGCGATTTTTATTCCTGACCTGCTGTTACAGTCTTTTGTTTAAGCAGTAGTTAAAAATGTTTTTGCCTTATCAAGTTGTTTCATCTTCTCCAGGCTGCAGGCTTGAATGAGCTTCTTTCCAGGACTGTTGTTCATAAGGCTTTATACTGTGAATAAACTAAACGTGATCTGAGGATCTCAATGCAACTGTGGATTGTGTTTTAAGATTAAACATATAAAGAGAAATCTTTTGTGCTGGTCTGTGCTTAGACATAGATTCCCAAGAACTGTAGCTATGAGCTGCTGCCATTCATCTTGCCACAATCTCCATCTACTTTGAAGTGTGTCTTTTTCAAAATTTGGCAAGTTAATCCCTCAGTTTCCTAAAGTCTGTAATTTTCTAACTACAGTACCCCAATGCCAGCAGTTCTGATGGTGACCAGAAGGTGAATTATTCTTTATTCCTAAAAATACCTACTTGGGTTTGTTTTTCATCATATTCATTCCTGAACTACAGCAACCAAAAGAGATCCAGATGTGAAGCGAGCATTAAAAAGCCTCAAATTCTTCAAAAGGTAGCAAATAGAAGGTCATTACCCAAACTAATGTCACCTCCAGCTAGCAGTGAGGACTGTAGCATGTCCATTAGTTGGTACAGTTTTCTCCTGCTCTACTTTGTACCTCTCTAATTTACGTAACAAATAAATGGGATTCTATAGAGCTCTCTCTAAGAAACCTAATACCGTAGGTATTTCACCTGAGAGATGGATGGTTTGTATTGCTGAATAGACAGGAATCCCCACTATGGGACGCAGTCTCAGAAGATGAACACAAAGTGTGTACATGTGCGTGGGAAAATGTAAAGAAGGAACAGCTTCTGCAATATTGCAGATGACATGCAGGTTTTAAAGCACTTTACAAAAGGATATTAGTACCCTTATTTTACAGAAGAAATCTTACATTAACATTTTCACATTTTACATTACATTTTTACACTATGAAATGACTTATTCAAAGTTCATCAGCAGGTCAGCAGCAGAACCTTGAATACAACCTAGGCTGCCCAAGCTGCAGTGCAGTCCTACACATGCTGCTCAACACACTACGCTCTCTTCTCTGCTATGCTATATTGTCCCTGCAAAAGACAGTAACAGTCTCTAGAGGAGAGCAGACATACCTGCATTATTCATTACAGTTAATATCTGTCCTGTAAAAATTAGCATCACGAAGAGAGTCACCAACACCAATGATGTCAAGAGAGAGATTTGGTAACAGTACAGAATCCCAATGACAGTATCAAGACCTCTAAAGGCAAAGTAAGAGTCACAGAATTTCTCTTTAGCTGGTATCAAAATGCAAGAGACAGAGACCTCCAGAGGACAGTGAAGCAGGCTTGCACAGTATCCCAAACTGTGGTAGAGGCAAGTTACACACATCTCTTTCTAGGTTTCTCAAATGAAGACAGCTCTATGAAAGTGTCTCTACATGATTATTACAGGATAAGGATTTCACAGTGGTTTTCTAGAAATAGAAATATAGCTACAACAGTCAGCGCTTACAAGCACATTTCTAGAGGAAGACTGCTCAGACTCACATGATTTTTTAAAAACTCATTTAAAAAGCAAGTCTTAAAAATGTATTTAAAATGCAGAAGTTCCAGGTGAACACAGTTCTGAGATATAAACATGTAAAACAAATTAGAAAAAAAAAAGTGACTGCATTGAAAGGAAAAATAGTATTAAAAATACTTCGGATAACCAATATGGGCTGGAACTCCATAGCTGATAATTTCAGTAGAGTGCTCTTCTACTTCCATTTAGACAACAATTTGTCTTTTAGTTGCATTACAGGAGAGTCATATTGGTACACTTCATCTTAGTTATACAACTACACAAGATCTATAGATTCAGAGATGCTCTTTGCAGTTCCATCTTGATTCAAAGAGAAGGAAGCAGCTGAAGAGAAGCTGAACCCACTTCATACTCTAAGCTCATTCATTCAATGCACAGGTGTTTTTTTTATAAACACTAATGAACATAAAACCATTTTTTTGGTTAGTAATGAAGTACATACAGACAAATATTTGATGTGATTTTGGAATATATATTGAAATGGTATTTTTTCATCTAGATATCTCATAATCTTGAATTCTGAATAAGAAAAACCTAAATGTGGTTTGAAATTTTGTAGTACAGCACTACGTATGTAGCAAGACACGTAGCTGAATAGTGTAGTGTTTCCTGTTGAACATCCCATACATACATATATCTATACCAATTCAAATAGCATAAGGATTTGACACTATTTACCATTGTTGCTAGCATACAATGATCAATTTATTTCTCAAGGCTACATTTAGGGAATCTGTATTCAAACTTGAGATATGAAAGACTGATAGCTCTAATAGCTGATATGAAACATACTATGTCCTATTTTAAATATTTGTGAAAATTAAACATATTTTATTCTGCAATAATCATTTAGACTGTCTTTCAGATACTCTTGTTTTTAATAAAGGTCATTTGGGGTGGGAGGAGATATGTAACTCAAAGCACTTCAAAGGATTTTTCTCTCCTTTGTATTTAATTAGTTACATCCGTGAATTTCTATATACACCTAAGACAATAGTTGCCAGTACTTTCAGTACTGACATCTTCACTGCTATGGTCTTATATCAAAGGTTTAAAAAAAAAAAAATTCCTGATACACATTAAGACCCAACAGAAGTGTTCTGTTTCTAGTTACGCAAATATGGACTAGCTTCCTGAAAGTTAATTTTTTTTTAAATAAAACAGAATTTGTGCCAGAAACAAGGGAAAACAGTTAAATAAGTTGACTACTGATAGAAGCAAACACACAATAACTTACCTGGATGCAACATATTTTTCATACATTTCTTCCCTAGCTTTTTTGGCATCCTCTAGCTGAATCTGAAGTCTTTCAAGACGATCTTCTTCATGTGCACAGCGAACACTAAGCTCCATGTTCTGGCGATTAAGATAATCTTTATCTTTTTGCAACAAGTTGAGGGATTGTTGTATGGTTGCCAGCTATAAAAGGCATTAAAAAGAACACTTTAACAGGAACTTCAAGATAAGTATTTAACCTATGTACTCATATTTGTGATTTCATTTTAACTATCTTCTGTGAAATCACCTGAACCAAAAAACTCTATTTACACTTACGTTTAACGTAAGTTGGTGAAGCTTATGCTGAAAAAGAGACTTTAATAAAATTATCATTTTATGAGTTTTCATTATTTATTTCTGGTAGTTGGCACCTGAAAAAGAGATAAAGTGCCCCTTAATCTACCTCAGTATCTAAATAGTACTGAAGTACTGAATAGTGATAGTATTGAATAGTACTATGTCAGAAATACTGATGTCAAGTCTCGGTGCCAACCTGTCATCATACTGCCTACAACATTCTCAGAAACAGAAGTGAAAAGTTTAAGGGCACAAGAGTGATTATTGCTCCATAAAGAAATGGTAAAACTGCTAGTTCTGGGGCTGAAGTATATCATGATTGTCATCAACAAAGTGATGTTCCACGCTAGCACCAAGGGCAAAGAGGGTTATCCATGCCTTGTTTTGACTTTCATTTAGCATGGTGTTGCTACAGAAGGCTGAACTGATGCCAAAGTAGAAACATGAATATCTTGTGAGTTTCCGTAACAGCATTCCCAATCACCAGATCAATCCTCTTTACTACTCCAAGAAGTAGTGTGGGAGGGAGTAGTCTCCATCTGTTCGAGGTGAACATTGTCAGAGAACAGCCACAGAGCACAATGGCACTGGTGCAGAGTGGCCCAACTCCTTAGTCATGATAGCAAAACACAGTTTTATCACCTTAAATAATTTTGCTGTTTAAGCTCCTGAGGATGTCACATGCCAAGTTCAAAGAAAGATAAACCAATAACTTACCAGAAATAGGTCCCCCAAAGCTATAAAGACATCATGTACATGTTTTAGATAGAATTCACCCTTCCTGAGTCATAAAAGGACTAAAGGTTATTTAAGGGAGATACTCAAGTCAAAGACATGGAGCAACAAGTTAAACAGCGAAAATTCGTACCAAAAAAAAAAAAAAAAAAGGCGCTCTTAGAGGCATGCTTCTCTCCATCTGCTCACTTGCTGAGCACCACAGAGGGTGAGGTATAAATGCCTGTCCTATAGTTTGTTTTATTTAAGAAAAAAACCACAACTGTCCCCTTTCTCCAAGTAACAGGTTATACGTATATCCACAGTGAACACAGACATCATGAATTACTACATGAAGAAAGAAATCTAGGAGTTACTACCCCTCCAACTCCTCCTCCCCCCGGGGAATACATAATGTGTAAACACTTACAATTGTACCCTCCTCTGATTCAGAACTTGTGATACTGTACCAGCATACACAAAAACCACTACAGACCTCCCAGAAGATTCAAGTAATCACACAGTTTGAAGTGGTATTTTAGTGTAAAGTAGTGCTACTTTTACTCCCTCAGATTAATTTAGTATAAAGTTAATGAAAAAAGCCATTGTTGCTGCTACACTGCAGTACTTGATGCATATATACGAACTTGATGTACATGACAATACCTGTAAAATTAGGCAGTACTATCTTTATAGTGGTAGTTGTAGCCACTATTTTATCTGTAACACTGTTAGACAGAGACTACAGAACACAATCTCCCCTGAATCCTCTCAGGCATAATTGGTCTCATTTACTCAGCTGCCAAAGTGTTAACACACAAAGATCCTCCATTTGATTCTTGCCTAGACCAGTACAGAAGTCAAGAACAACTTTCTCATGCAGTGCCCCTTTCATATCCCATTAAAAAATAAATTCACAAATGAATTCAGAACAACCAATCAATTTTTTCTCTATTCCTTTTGGTCGTTCCTAGAAAGATTTCTATACAGAAACACAGCTTAAAAAAAATAGTCATCTTTTCACACTGAAGTTGCACTGAGCTACAAACCACCTGATAATTAGCCAATAATGTTATAAACTGAAAAAGTTTTTCTTGAGATTCAGTAAGCCTCTTCTCCCTCCCAAAAAGCTGTTGCAAAGTTACACCTACATCTGACAAACAGAAAAATCCCTTCCAATAGTTTTGGATGTTTCTATTCTAACTTGCTTACTTAAGGTGAACAGTTAATCCTGGAGGTTCAGCAAAGCAATCCTCCCTATGAACAATTTAGATGCAGAAATAGTGAAAATGGATACTGAGTAATGGAAGCTTGTATGATATAAACCATAAGAAGTCCTACAGATGAAGGCAGAGGACTTGGAAACATTCTCTATGTATGTTTCTCTGAGTCCCTTGACCCCAAATTTGTAATACATGCTCAGTAAGGGAGCCATCACTGAACATAATTCGTGACTCTTGGATGAATGAATTAATGAACAGAGAAGCAGCAAGGGACATTTCTCTTGACCTAACAGGCCTCTGGCTCTTAGAATGTCTTTGAAGCAGCAGAAACATAATTCCCCTGTGAAATATTAGTGCTACCAGAATGGCAATGACTGAGATCTGAGTGAAGTGACGGACCTAACTGAATCAGAACTCAGTGGAACCCTAAAAGAGATGAGAACCCCTCTGTGCCTGAACAGGCGTTTATTCATTTTTCCAGCAGAATGACTTTCAAAGACTAATGGAGACACATTAGAGAAAAACAGTCCATCAACCCTAGTAGATAGTCCTACACAAACCAGAAGCAGCACTGGAAGTCCTCTTGTCAATAGGCAGTATCACAGAAAGAGGAGGTCTGGAATAGCAGTCTCTCTATTCCTGACACAGAACTAACTTCTGTAAAGGTGAAGTGAAGGAAACTTCGGGCAACTGAACCATTATTTTACTAGAGTCACAAAGAAGAAAAAATACATCTTCTATTGATGTCTAGGAAAAACATACACAACAAAATATAAACCATACAGTAGCTCTGCCCTACTGCCACTATTGGTCAGAAAGAGCTAAAGTAAGTTTTAACTAGTTCTGCACCTTTTGAGGGATGGAGCATACTCACAACATTCAGCCTTCACTGGTAAATTTTGCCCTTGGGTCTCCCAGGTTCCTGAGTTTATTGGCAGAGTTTGGAAGACTGAAGCAAAGGAAGACTAAGCTAGAGACCTAGGAAAACAGCATGTACATAATGCCTAGGGAAAAAATGGAAAGCACTTGACCAATGTTGAGGGAGATAGCCAACGTTGCTATGAGGTTGGCCAGCTGTCTGAAAGATCATAGCAAGTTAGCAAGGCTTCTGATGACCAGAATCCACCTTCAAGGAGGAGAACCCAGGGAACTAGGGGTTGGTAAATCTAACCTCAGTCCCTCCAAAGGTTATGAAGCAAATCCTCCTGGAAGCCATATCCATGCATATGGAGGAAAAGGTGACTGGAAACAACTAACATGGATTTACTAAGACCAAACTGTGCCTAGCAAACCTGACAAGAAAGGTGGCTCTATCAATGGGGGGACAGTTGTCTATGTCATTTACTTGGATTTCTGCATGGCTTTCAGCTATCGCCCATAACATCTCTATGGGAAAATTGGCAAGATATGGATTGGATAGGCAAATATTAGTTGAACAAACTGAACATGAGCCAGAAGCATGCCCTGACAGCAAAGAAGGCCAAGTGTCTACTAGGCTGTATTAGCAACAATGCAAATAATATGTTGAAGAAGATTATTATTATCCTATAGTTCAGTACTTGTGAGACTGTATTTGGTGTGCCATGTCCCATTCTGACCTCCCCATAAAGACATTAACATACTGGAGCAAGACCAGAAGAGCTCTGCCAAGATGTGTACAAGAGGCTGAGAGAAATGGGAGGGGTTTCAGCCTTCACAAGACAAACCTGGATGGGAAAGGTTTTATTGTTATCCTCACCTATCCAACTGGAACGCATAGAAAGAGCCAGACTCCTGGAAGCACATAGTGTCAGGACAAGAGGCAACAGAAAACAAAGCTGCAACAACTCTGATTAGATTTTACAAAAACTTTTTCACAAAGAGGGAGGACAAACACTGGAACAGATTGTCCAGAAAGGCTGTGGAATCTCCATCCTTGAAGATATTCAAAATCTGACAAAGCCCTAAGCAATCTGGCCTAAGTTGGCTCTGCACTGCATGGGAGGATTGGACCAGCTGGTCTCCTGAAGACCCTTCTAATCTAAATTATTCCATAATCCTACAGGTGATCCTGACATATGTCATTAGACAAAGAATCAAATTCCTGAGCTGAAGAAATAGACAATTGCTGAAATAAGAACTTTATGTTTACCTCTTTTGATAAGTCATTTTTTTCTTTAGCTTGTGCTTTGTGTGACACCTCTAATATTTCATATTTTCTTCCGAGTTCTGACAATTCATGTTCAAACATATCACGTTCACTGTTAAAATAAAGTGAAACTATTAGATGCATGAAGTGTAATGAACAAGATTCCTGTGCATCTGTAATTTCTCAGCCTTCTTTCAGTTCATGACACTGACTTCTTCCAACCAGTCCCTCATCGGCCAATTAGTGATAATCTTACCTTTTTTAGTTATTAACACCTGCAACAGTATTTTATTATATGAAAGAATTTTCCTCATTTCTAAGTACTTAAAAAATAATCCTAAATTATAATACAATAATCCTGAATTCCTACCCTAAATTATTTCATCCTCCTCTGATTATTCTTCTTTAGTGTAACTTTAGGCTATACATTTCTCCTCTTAGCAATGAACTGTAAGTACCCTTGTCCATCCTTTTATCTTTATCAAGCTTTTGATGCTATTTCCCATGACATTCTCTTGAATCTTTTGCAGATATTGAAGTTGGATGAAAAACTAAAGCAACTTCATTTCCGTCTTCCTAATCAAACAGAAAGCAATGTATACTTGTTCTCAGTTGCTACTCTCCCTTGTATACAGTCCCTTGATACCAGAGGGGGTTGTACCACTCCTCTCATGTTTAAAATATACAGATCACAGTTGCAAAAATTATGTTGGTGACCTGAATAAGAATGCTTGTGCATATGCACAAAGAAGCAGCTCTATGGCTCCACTCTATCTGACACTGTCAGAACAGTGAAATGAATGAGCCAGATTAAGCTTGCAGTTTGGAAAAAAAGCTAACCAGTTTTATATTAAGCATAGCGTAGCTTTAAAACTGAGATAACTTTTAGTACACCAGAACTCAAAGATTTGACATAGCATTTTTAAAGGCAGAAACGAGCCTGGAAGTGATTAACTCCTGCAATGCTCCCAGATATCCTCATGTGGTCATGCCAACAGTGCTCTCCCCTCCCCTTCGTCTGTGCCTACCCAGATGAATATAACCTACTCTCTCAAATAAGGTTTTGGCACATTCATTCATGCCTTTTTCAACTCAAGACTATTTTAAATGTACACTGTTAAACACTGAGGCCATTCACATGAAAGTTATTACAATGCAGTTGCACATGGGAAGCAAACCATAGCATCAATCCATCCCATTTGCAACAAGCTTCCAGGTAGATTCCAAGGTTGTTTTAGTACATATAGCTGTGAACAGTTATTCAGAAAACAGACCTCCTTCAAATAACTTAGTGGCATAGTCATTTGTGTCAGTAACTGTGCCTGAGTTCATTCAGTATGAACAACTAAGCAGCTGACATGGTGGTTTTTATTCATAATCCCCATTTTTTTAATCCATTCCCCAACAAATGTGCCAAAGGCCAGATTTCTTGTACTTGCAAGCACACTGAAAAAGCCATTTGGGAGCTGGACTGTGAAGTATACGCCTATGAGTGTATTTATAAGTCCATTTTCATTATTTTGCAATTGTTGCTTATGAGATGGGCATTCAAAGCATAGGGTAGAACTCCAAAATCTATATTTTAAAAATGAAAAGAGACACTGGAACTTCCTACAGTTAAACCAATTCACTAAGGTAATCCTAAGATTCTCTGACAAAGTTTTTATAACAGCCCTTTCAAATTTATGGTTACAAGGATATCTTAAGTTGTTAAATATTAGTTCCCAAAGTCCTACCCTCTTGATTCACTGCGTAGGCACCACAAAGTAGAGCACAGGGCCTTTGTTAGATCATTGCTTTTAAACTAGGAAAAAAAAGAGTAGTTGTGCTAAGATGCTTGGCATCAACAGCTCCCACTTCTTTAGTTGCAATAAGACTGGCAGGCTCTTCTGAAAACACAGTAAATCCCTAAATATAAACTTTTAGGAAGCTTATTTGATGCATCAGGTTTCAAAATGTTGTTCATCTTATGACTGCAATACACTGCAGGAGATAATTGAACCGTTAGTGGGTTGAGGTAAGGAAAAATATCTGTGGTGTGCATAAGCCAAAAATCAAATGAAAAACTCTAGTCAGTCAAGGTTGAAGTTTATCTATTAACATTTGTATGTTAGTAGAACACTTGAACTATAGAGGTACCTACCATTTTACTTTATCATAGTTCTCTTGTCTGTAATCACCTCGCTGAATCATCTGCTTGGTATCAGCCAGTTCCAGTGTCAAACGCTGGCATCTAACCTCAAGCTCTGACCGATTCCTCCTCTCGTCTTCATAGCTCTAGAAGGTAAGATATTTTTAAATGATCACAGCTACACTGATATTTACTTAAAGCAATCACTGACTAAGTTTTGTGAAGACCTCTTGCGAATATTCAAGTGGTAGTATTTTCATTTGTCGCAGTATTTGGAAACCTAGTATATATCACAAAGTAACCAGCTATACTGATACTCAACTTACTTTTATCTTATTCTAAACAGTTGATTAATGTACCTATTTTTTCTAACACATTTGTCCATTAGCACAACTTCAAAGACCAGTAACCCTCATATATAGAGCCAGTGGTCTATAAACATGTAGTAGGAGCACAAAAGTCACACCACCTTTATGACTTTTTCTAACAAATTTCCTTGTGAAGATACTCACTGGTCCATTTGAAAAAAAGAAAGAGGATTGATCATTCAGAAAGTTTGGGAACTTCTGTCATTATATGAAAACTTCTGGCCTGTTAACTCCCAAATTGTATCTGGTAACTTATGTTTGCTGAAGCATATTGTCCAAAGCTTTGGTGAAAAAGGAAGGAAAAAGGAAGGAAAAAGGAAGGAAAAAGGAAGGAAAAAGGAAGGAAAAAGGAAGGAAAAAGGAAGGAAAAAGGAAGGAAAAAGGAAGGAAAAAGGAAGGAAAAAGGAAGGAAAAAGGAAGGAAAAAGGAAGGAAAAAGGAAGGAAAAAGGAAGGAAAAAGGAAGGAAAAAGGAAGGAAAAAGGAAGGAAAAAGGAAGGAAAAAGGAAGGAAAAAGGAAGGAAAAAGGAAGGAAAAAGGAAGGAAAAAGGAAGGAAAAAAAAAAGTTGCTTATTTACTGGTCTATCAGCATTAATTTCCATTTTCCCTTCTTTTTCCTCCTCATATACTTTGAGAGACTACTATGGGAACTAGAAAAAAGGGACCAAAACAAGAGAACACACAGAAAGCATCTGCCTTAAAACACTGGTTAGTCCTTTTGAAGATAAACAGATTTCCTAATCATCATACTCTTCCCTCCCACCTCCCATGGGAATAGCAGACTTTTGTACCTTAATGCACAATCTAGACTCCATTTCTCAGATTTTTGTACAAAGTAGGTATTTATTTTCACAAAGCTTACCTTACTTGCTTGTCCTAAATGCTGTACTACTAAATAATTTTTTCACAAAAACAAGCAAAAATAATGTTTATCCACCTATACTAGGGAAAACTGATGGACAGCAAAAAAAAAAAAGAGGTGCTTGTTAAAATATTTGAGAATACCCCCTGGACATCCAAATTTTTTCCGTATTCTGCTTCTCAGAATACCCTGAGTTCCATTTTTTTTTCTGCTATGGTTGATACATGGCAGGCTCGATAATGGATGCTTGATAAATAACTCAATCTGGTTATACCGAATGGACATCACAATATTATTCATTGAAGGTGAATACAAAACCAAATGACTGCCTTAAGATATGATTACTGAACCAACCATTTAGCCACTGCAAATCAAATCTATTTTGCAGTGAGGGACATTGTGTAAGTGCATAATTCTTCAAAATAAACTGAAAGCTATGTTTTATACAGTTATAAGAGAGGCTGGTAATTGTGTCTAGCTAGTTTTTAATAGACAAGAAAAGTTTTGGACAACAGCATATATGGAGTGGATGACTCCTAAATACAGCTTCCTAGGAGGAATGAACACAATGATCATACTCTAGGATAGGGATGGAAAGACAGAAAGAACACTGACCAAATTCACAGGCACCATTAACTGAAAGACTGACAGAATGCCTTCTTGAAAAAAAACACCTAAATGCTTGTAAGACACTACAGAAAAGCTCCCTTAGCTACTAAACAGATGGTAACTATTCTCTTGACAAATAAGAACTTTCCATTTTATCTTTCACAAATCTAGTAATTTTCACTTGCACTAAAATCACATTAGATCACAATCACATAATCACAACACTGAGAAAGTTTTCAGGAGGATTTTGGATGGCATATCATTAAGAACATGTCATCTAAAGACATGATTCTTATTTAGCCTAACATACTAGTATGTATGGCTTATTTTTATGTTTATCCTAATTAATGGATATACATTAAACAAATTAACACTATAGAACACTTTCTTCTCAAACCAATTAACATGCCATCATTTATAAAGACAGCATTATCATAATGGTAAAGCCTCTGTCAGATGCTTTTAAAGGTGTTGACTACAAGTCAGTTAGAGTTTCAAATATGTAACACACAGGTGCAAGTACCCTGTTATACAGCACAAACATGACTCATCTTGCAATAGGAAATGGTGGTAAGGGCACATAACTTTTAAGTGCAAATTGAAAGATTAAGTTTGGATACAATTCCTCTGTGGATATCCTGTGCCATTCTGCTGCTAATACCATGCTGGAATTCATACGCCCTTCACAGAGTGGGCTATTGAAGCTCCTACAGTATTACACATTTAGCAGCTAGAAGACAACTACCAAAAGGTATCAAATATCCTCTGGACCAATTTGTCATAAACAGCTCTAAAACACCAATTAACAGTACAGTTGAATATCTACAAAATTAGTTCCTTCTCATACCCTAGACCTAAGCTAGGTTTTGGATTTTATTTGAGAAGTAATACTAAGACATACCTAAAGTATCAAACTAAACAGATAGTTAAAGAAAGAGGGTTTGTTTTGTTTTTAAAGATTTACTATAATTCTTGAAGAAATACTAATTCTACTGCATAGGTCATTGTTTTCCAACTACCTAATCTTTTAGGTGTCAAAGTTGTATTTTAATCACAGGAAAAAATGTGACAAGGCAAGCTAAAAAACAGTCTCTAGGCTAACACACAAAAAACCCTATATGGCATGCATATCTCCAGGTACCAGACACACAATCTTCTGGACTTTTATAGCAATACATCTTAAAAGACATACAATCAAGTTGTCTGTGCTTAGAAAGACTAAGCCTTGCTTTGCATGTGATGAACTTAGTTTATAACAATGTCCATATACCCTGAACTGATTTTAAGATCTCTGCAATGGAACAGCTTTATCTTTCAATTTATCTTCAAGAGATAGCTTGGCAAAAAGGGGGCTTTTAAAAAGATCAAGATACAGAGCACTTTCAAGGACATGAATGAGGTCCTGGAAATTACACCAATAAATAAAAATAACTTAAGTAAGTCCACAAACCTTAAAAAAATTAAAGGACAAACAGTACTTCCTCACATGGAACATGATTGTGATGATCCTGTCAACAACGCATGGCTTTTCTCCAGCTCCTTACTAATTTTCGCTACTGCAGAGAGTAGCAATTCAGACAGATGAGGTGGTTAAAACAAAGAAACCTGTCCTGTGCAAGTTGGGTAGGCAAACATTGCCTCAAGAAACTGTTAAGAGAGCTGTCCAAGAGACCCAGTAGTAACCAGTACAGGTGGTTTCTACAGAGCATGTGAAGCAGTCCCTACCAAGAAGCACTTCTTCACAGTTTACACTATTGACAGATGGACATTCCAAGCAAGAAGATTCTGAACTTGCCTGATCTGCACCATTTAAAGCCCAAACTAGTAGTCTATAGAGAAACTATAGATCTAACAATAGACCTCAGTTTTATGACATTAAGCTTCACTGTTATCCTCCATCTGGAATGAATAGCAACTTACAGCAGTCACTAAAATGAACACCTACCTAAATTTCAACTACAAAAACTGGGTGACATACTTTTTGAACAAAGTTAGTGACACATAATACATGGTAGGGATTAGTCGATCTTTCAAAAAGCCTTTGGGGATAAGAAGATAAACAACAGAAATGCAGGGAAAAGATTCATCAGCCAATCAAGCAGAAGTAGCATGACTTCTTCATACTGTCTACAGATAAGTCTGTGGAAGAAAGTGATCCTGCTTTTAAAAAGCTTATTTAAAAGAACTTCATCTTTGAAGGATCGCTTACACAAGCCAGCACTTTCTGTTCATATCCTCAGGTACCTAAATGCCTTAGGCAAATGTAAAGCTACTATAATATTGTAATGTGAAAACCAATTCCCCCAAGTTATTTGGATGAGGTGCTGCTGCTTAGTGAAGATGACATTTTGCTTCCATCTGCTTACACAGTATGCATTCAAAAATTATTGGTCACTGCATTATTTGTTTGAATACAACTGCCCAAATGTCAGGAAGAAGTTATACATAACTGGATGAATAAGACATCTCTTCTAGTATGTTGATATGAAATCGGTAATCTGCCAAGGACTGTAGATGGGGCACTATGTGCCACTAAAGGTTACAAAGAAAAATGTTGAGCTACTTCCAAAATAGGGAAGCTCTGCAAGAAAGGTAAGGAAGAAAAGCTTTGGCATAAGTGCCTCTATTGCAAAAGAAAGTGGGGGGAATAAAAACCTCTTTCTCTCTGGATCTGAGCTGACAAGAATCTTCAGTGAATTATTCTCAGGTGAAAATGATCCTTGAGATCATTGCCTTAGAGACTAGAATTAAGCCATTTGGTCCTTCTGAACAACGAACTAGCAGTCTATACGAGCCATAGCTATATATCAAAAGAGGTAGAAAGACATTGCATAGAAAAGGGAACTTTCATAGATACATAAGTTTTCTTGAGTCTTGGAAACGTTAAACTGCTGCCCCAAGCTAATAGTTATAGGTAGAATATTTTTCTTTGCAGCTTTTTTTCCAGAACAAGATAAATATTAACAATAATGGAGGAAAGAAGGCACGTATCTCACCTAAGACTGAGGCCTCATCTGTCCTTTCTAGAGAGAGACGTGAAGACCAAGTAATCAAAGCACTGCTTGAAAGAACTGGTGTCAGGTTGGGGAAGGGTTCTAGAGTGCAGTCTTTAATTACAGATGTGCAAACTTCAGAAGGAATCTTAGAGAACGCAGTCCTTCTGGAGTGGCAACAGTAGCCTCAATTTTACAACATTCAGATACATCTAGTGCCAACTGATCCTTTGAGTGTAATAGCTTAGTTCATTCTCTGAAGACTATAGAAATGTTTTTCCTCCAGCTGGGAAACATTATCACAGAGAAAATTGTTAGGTTTGTCTAGCAAAACCTGACAGCTACTAATACCAATTCAGAGACGAGGTTTTAGAAGAGTTCTTTGTCCTACATACATCCAGCTTTGTCTTTAGGCTAACCATAGCTCTTAGATAACTGTCATACTATAAATTTGATTGCAAGTCCTGAAGGCAACTTTACAGAAAAAAAATAAATAAAGAAAGGAAGCCCTGATAAAACTGTATCAAGACTGAATTCCGGGAAAACATTGCCAAGAAACTCATAGCCAGAAGAAGAAAGCAATACTTAATCTTCTAAATCTACAAAGAAAAGCAGAATTTCATTCTCAGACTCTCTCCCAGCCTTGAGAGAAACACGCAAGTAGTAAATTACATCTGTTTGAGGGAAGGTTCTAACCACTTTGGAAGCAAACTACTCTGAAAATAGTACACTGATGTTCAGCATGGGAACACACACATCAGAAGCTGGTTTTGTTTCTGGGAAGCTCCTGGTAATACAGAACTATAGCTGGACTTTCTTCTCCATCTGTACCTCCGAAGGTGGTGGTGCCAACATTATTTGTACTTGAAGTACTGAGCACTGTAAAAGAAGGACTGAAATGAGTCTGTACCATACATTTGGTAACAGATCAGTCAGCACTGAAATACAAGAACACCACTTTTACCAGTTCCACTGCCTCCTCTCTGTCTGCTGCTGCTGCACCTAGAATCAGGGAAACCACACTGGTCTAAATCACAGATGCAACAATGTCTACAGAGAGCCATCAACTTAGTGGTAGTACTGCAGAACAACTTATACTGACCAGTTTAAAAACAGAAAGCGGTGACAAAGATCTTTTGACACTAGCTGTGTTTATCAGATTATGTTCCAGTGCTAGAAATCAGTCTTTGCACACTGTTCTTTGCTACCAGTTGTCAGAAGCAGCTCCCCACCCTACTGGGTCTGCCTTACAGATTCAGCAGGCTTTGATTAAGTGCTAACTCAGAGCAGCAACAGACAATCAACAAGAGAACTTTGTTACAAAGTCGTAGAGTTTTAGTGGTTTTACTCATCAGCATACTCAGAATTAAGTGACTGCTAACAGAGGCAGATAGACGCTTAGGACCTTCTGCCCCTTCTGAACAAACAAAACATTTTTTCACAAATATTTGAAAGATATCTTTTATGCCCTGAAGTCAGAAATAAAAGTTTTTCTAATACAAATGAATTGCCTAGAGATGAAGAACATGTGGATTTGTCAAGTCTTGGAAAATTAGTTTCTACAAGGCTACAATGACAATTCAGTTTTTACAGAACCAAGCTTCCTAGCTGGTACAGATGGATAGTTGGCTGAGAGGCCACAGTACCAGGACACTGCACTCACTTTTGTGCCTGGCTAGATCTGTTGTGCCAACAACAAGTTTTATTTGGTTTTTGTTTGGTGTTTTTTTTTCCCCCCTCCCCAACAACAACAACAACAACAAAATACGGCAGCATGTAGAAAAAAAAGATTTAGTGGGTATGAAGACCAGATTTTATATAATAATAAACTCAGCCATATTGGCTCATCGTAATAGCATTCAGAGAATAGAACTGTGCTCTTTGGCTTTCCCACAAAACAGTATATAAAGGCTCATGAGCAGAGAAAACAAAATAACCGAAGTGTCTTACGTTGACACTCCAAAACAAGAACAGTAAAATTAGAGCTCATTTCCTTTCACCAAATTAAAGGACTAAAGCCATCCTGTCACAAAATAACATAGCTGATGTTAGGCAATGGTTGTTTTATTTTACGAATTCATTTCACATTTTAATTTTCCCAGACATGGCTTAACACATTAGACAAGTTTGGATTTTCCTTTAAACTTTTTCAATTCTTTGTTGGCTAGGTAGACTTTCCTATGAGTCTATACCTAATTCTCTCATATTTCTCATGACTTTATTTCTGGGTGAATATCTACATGCATAAAACTTACTCAAACCTAGTCTGTCAGCCATGAACAACCAGAAAAGCCAGCAAAATCCTCCTCCCCCAAGCCATTAGTAGTTACCAGAAAGATTTGGGATAAGCATATATTTTAGTTCCTTTCCATGTTCCACAAAGAGGAAAAAAAATACATGTTGAAACTTCTTAGGAAGAGCCTTAATTATTTGCAATAGTAGAAAAAGGAATGCTTATTGTAGGAATTGGTTTATTCTTACAGAGGGGGGGAAAAAAAGAAATGTCTTGACTTCAGTGATGACTGTATTTCAAAAGTCTGTATTAGTAGTTTCCTAAAGAAGTTTTAAATCCAGAACAGACACTTTGTTAATAAATTATGTAAAGAACAGAAATATTGCAATTGTTGGAGAAAACTTAAAAATTAAGGAATATTGGATGGGAAACCAGACGAAGGATTTAATAACAGGCAAGGAACTTCAGCAACTGTGTTTCATGTAGCTGGAAATAAAGAATGACTGGAATACCACAAAAACAGTAAAAGGAGAGTATAAGAGCTTAAGTAAGACTCTGAATGAAACTGTGCTTTATTTCCTACTGATAAATTTCCTTGCAATAACGCTTGACCTTATCAAAGGAGCTCAAGTAAGTTACCCGAACAGTACACCTTGAAACCGTTTCTTTGTAAACTGCAAGAGATGCTTACGTATGTTAGCTTTAGCATACTAAGTACATTAGAGATTCTAAAATACCCTCACATATTGATGATGTTCCTCTCACCTTATTACCTTAAACAGCCTGAGGCACCTTGTTACCGTGACACTCAGCAAGTCACTAGGTCAAATCTGAACTTGCCAGAAGCAAAATACAGAGACTCTTAAGTCTCTCCATACATAAAATACCTTGTATCAGGTGACATTTCACTAAATATCCAAAACACATTATCTCTATGCGTAATGGATAAGGTGAAGACTTGGGTTTGGGGTTTTTTTGTACATATGGAAGAACTGTAGTAAGTGATCTTACCTGAAACCTGAGAATCCTAAGGAATAATTTTTATTAACAACTGTAAGCCTTTTTTTCTTGTGACATTTCAACATCCGGATCTCTTCCTTGATTTTTTTTTTTAAATTTAAAACGAGGTATTCATTCTCACTAATTGTCTCTCATTTTAAGCATGATTATGCAAACAGGGTATAAGCATCAAAACCATCTCAGTTTAACACAGGCAACATTCTAGTACTTTCTCATCAACATCAAAAGAAAAGCACAGTAAACTTCAAACTTCGAAAAATAAATCAGTGGGAAAGGTGGATACTGCCACCATGTGGTATAAAAAGAACAAAATTAGAAGTTTCTATATTAAAGAAAGGTCAATGTACCAAGAAAATTGTTTCTAGCACAACTTTAATTACCGTTATGTACTATCCCGTTAAATTGCTGCAGCAAAATTAACACAGATGTCAGTCAAATCTCAGAAGGCCGAAATCCTCCACAGAATTGTATTAAAATCAGAGCACATTAAATGTACAATGAAGGAAAATGCTCGTATAAATCAAAGTTAACAGGACTAATTTAATCTCAATTACAACCAGAGATGATGACACAAAATAATGCTGAAGCACATAAATGAACAAATTTTACTGACTACTTTTTCTAATTCAATCAAAAAGAGAAATGAAAATTATATTAATTTTACAAGATAATCCTGTATAATTAATATCTCTTTACCCCTGATTATTCCATAAGTAAATTTTGAGGAAAAAAAAGGTGGTAACTAAAGAATAATTTCAGAAGTAGTAAAATGACCATGGCACATTTAAGTCCCTGCTAGCCATGACTTGGATAAATATACTCTGGGTAGCTGAAACTGTCTTATCACAACTCCAGATTTACGCAGAACTAAGCTAAAATACAAATCATCCTAGCTGTATACCTACTAAGAATACTATAAATATTCATAAATACCTTAAAAACAACATTCTCCTTTTACTGTTTCAACTCTTCTACTCTTTGAAAATAAAAATTAAATACATTTAGATAATTTGTTTCTCTACTTCTGGCACTTATACCTTACCTGAAATCAAATTATCTTTTTCTTTAGTAGAGAAATAAATAGGAAAATTAAAATATAAAAAGTTGAAAAGCATAACAGAGAAGATGTAACTCTAAAGAATTCTTTTTAAAAAAAAAAAAAAAATCATTTTTTTATCATTAAAACAAAAGGTGAAGCAAATTACTACCAAGACATCACTATCTCAAAAACTATACACTGAATCATCATTGTCTTCAACTACTGCTGGATGGATCTCCTGTCTCAGCTTCCCCACCTTGAACCTTGCCCTCAGAAAGCACAACATAGCTGCTAAGAGTCTATCCTGAACAGTCTCATGAGCAAATCTTGCAGGGTAGCCATAACGTAAAATTAGTGGTTACGCAAGGACATATATAGCACGTTTTACCTCTCCCTCCCCCCCGTCCCCGCCTCCCCCCAGTAATTTTTATACAGCAAAAAAGCTTTTATATCTAATACATTAATAATGATTTGGAGAATGAGTTTTTTGCAATATGTATATATTTACACAGTTTCCTAACTGAGATAATTAAGGTGCACAGACCTCTGTCAGACACTTCAATTGGGATTTGTACCCACTTAGTTCTTCTGTTAAGCTCTCCTTTTTCTTCTGTAGATCACTTAGCTCTTTTCTCAAGGAATGGACTACTTCATAGAATCGGATCTACAAGAACAAGATATATATTCAAAATTGAGACTAGCAAAATTGCAATCGCAAACCTACAATCCCCAAACCAAATCAGCTTAATATTTTATGGCAATAATTCACCAAATGATTTCTATTGCATACCAGGAACCTGGTTGGGGCCGGGGGGATGTTTGGGGGGGTGGGAAATGTTGAAGTAAAGACAGTGTTTTTCTTGAGCCTTTGACAGCAGCCGCTAAGAAACAATCAGTTTGTGTTTGGCACTGAATTAAACAAAGAGGAATAAAGGTAAAAATAAACATTTCTGTTCAACTAAGGCAGCTCCCAGTCAGGCTGCCCAATTAAAAAATACAGCTGCTAATGGACCACATGGTCCCACCTTCTTACTTGTGCCAACTGTAGAACCTATTTGATTAACAGTGTAAGGGAAAAAAAAAAAAAAAGCCTATTTAGCAATAAACAAACTTAACTTGCTAACTTCCCACAAGCCCATATAAATTTTTATGGGATGTGTAGAAACGGAGCAAGATTAGTTTTGTTTTCTGCCAGTTCAGTGTGCTGAATCTGCACCAAGAATTATGCAAGAGCAAGCACAGGAACCAGGAACAGCACATAACCAGGAAGCACCGTGACACACCTCACACGCGCACTTTCAGCAGTAATATGTTGCTATATGGGTTCAGCTGCATCACGCAACTGAGCCTCTGAAAGACTCTACTCTGCTAAATTAACACTGAAAAAGCACCTTGTAAATGGATTTAATAAATAAATAAATTCTATAACACATACTCCTCTCTCTTCCCCCACTCCAGTCACAGGCATAGTCTCAGACAAATAAGTCTCAGATCCATAAAACTTTTCCAGAACACTTCTACTGAACAGTAAAAAATACTGGAAAACACAGTACTAAAACCACAAAGTCAGTAGTAAAAAGCAAAAAGGGACAAAACAAAGAAGAAAGAGCTTTTTTGATATACACACACACGTACACAGAGATTATTACTCCCAGATTAATTTGATACCTTAAAATGTTTATTTTGGGGGATGAAAAGAAAAGGATAGATAATCAAGCGCTATTTTCATGCAAAAGCTACTCCATACCCCCCATCATTAATGCTTTGTTTGATATACGATTAAAGAAGAAATACAAACAAGAAAGCACAGATAAAGTAAGCATTCAAGAGCAAGCCGTACTATGCTTCCATGCAGAAGGAAGACAGGCCTTTGTTTTGCTACCTGTAAACAGCAGAAGACAAAGAAAAGTTCCAGGTATATTCCATATAATTGACAGCATACAATTCCAAAAAACACAGAAGCCATGGAAATTTGCGATGTAAACGTTGGTGTAGGTTGCTTTATACAATAAAGCAAGTGTGCAACATGACTGAAAATTAGCAAGGCAAAAAAGTGAAATTTTCTAAGAAGTGGTGGGTTTTTTTTGGTTTTGGTTTTTGTTTTGAAGTTTTTCCAAATACTGTGCATGTTCAAAGTTGCAGTTGTTTAAATTTGTTGTACTCGACAAGAAAGCTCCAGTTTTCATCCTTACCTTTAGATGCAAAACAAACATAAGCTTAAATTTATAGCATATGTCCTATTTTAAGTTGATTTTTAGTGGAAAAAAAGTGTAAGCTTTCCCAAACTATAGTTGTTATCTTAATTTTTTTTAAGATGGTAACAAAGGAGTCTCAATTCACTATGTCTAAGTTTACACATAAAGTAAACAAAATTAAGGATGAAATTGCGTTTTTTTAAACTACGATTCAATTAAAACCAAAATAAGGTATCATAATTTTTTGTTCACATTGTGAAAATTCCAAATGACAAATTCAACCATCAGATGCTACAGTTAAAGCTATAAATTGTCTTTCTGTTCTGAGAAGTGAACTAACTGCATATTATTGCCTTACTTTACTGTTTCATTACTATTTTATTCTTGCAGTATTCTATTCCTTCAATATTTAAGGAGTTTTTTCATGTCCATCTGTGAAATCACATTGCTTCTAATGGGTTTGCATGAAAGCAAACAGTGAAGTTAGTTTTGTGGGTTCTTTCTAACTTCTGAACTACAACAGACTTCAACTACTTCCTTAGGGGGAGAAGAAAAAAACCAACAACTTCAGAAATGTGCATGCAAACCAGTGAGTACAATTTTAGCCTCTTAACTACAGCTTCCTCTGACTACAGTTTTCATCTATCTGGAATCTTTCCGAACTTGTCTGATTACATCTGAAACTGAGCAACTGAATTTCAATCAAATCCTCTTTTTTCAACCTTGATTGTCACTAATTGGTAACCATTTTTTAAACCAGTTTTTAAACCACACCTAGCTTTTCCCTTAAGTTCTTGTATTTTTATTGTGATTTCCCTAGGACACTTAACTTAGGCCATCATGCCACATTTACTTCCCAGACCACAACAACCCTAAAACGGATTACCCATTATCAAACCAAGATGACACGGAATACAGGTATCAAGGATAAATATATCTGCACAGCCTTCCCAAGAGAAGATCATGGTAGCAAGAAAGTGCAAATGAATGCAGCAGATGAGGGGAAGGTTGCAGCAGAAGTTCAACTGTTATTGTTATTTAGCTTGCTTGATGGCCAATAAACATTCATGTAACTCAGCAGTCAAAGCACGCATTGCCTCTTGCCAAGTCAATACAGCAGAAACAAAAATTACCGTAATGGGATTTCAGAAACAATTGCATATCTTAAAAATTACAAATTTATATAGATGTGCTGCAAGGAAAACTTTCTAGGTGATTTTTAAAAAAATCTTAGCATGTGCCCACCACTTTTTATAGAAAGCTAGAGTTAAGCTCAAAATGGGGGGGTACAGAGGAAGAGAAAGTTGGCTTCTGTTAAGTGGAGTTATGTGAAAGTAGTTGCATCAGTTAACTGCCTTCTTAAACAAAGAGCAACTGAGCTGTAGCTAGCAAAATGATGCAACTGAAAGACATGGTGATAAAAAATGGATCAAACAGAATTTGCAGATATCATTTTTCAACAACTTCATGAAAAATTTTTTGCAGGAGAGTACACAAGAGCCTTACTTTACTGAACAAATTAAGTGATTCAGCTGCCAAGCACCGGTGCTTTAAAATTTTGCATATACTGTTTCTAAAAAAATCATTCTCATAAACAATTAAAAAAAAAATCTACATTTTTACATGGAAGTTCAAAACAAAAGTGTGATTTTAAGAGAAAGATGCTTAAAACACCATTTTTCATTTGTCATCATCATTAATATTAAACATTGCTTAGTCTTTAACATGTCACTATTGCACCCCTTTGTGGAAGAACAGTGAAAAACATCTCACATTAGTTTTAATTCTAGTATTTTAAACTTGCAATATTTCTATATACGAAATCTGTATTTAAGCATTTACTGCTGGTTGTCCAGTATACCAGGTTCCAAATAAAGCGTAAGCATTGTATATACATTTATTTCTATCCTGGAGAATTGTAAGGCAGTATTTTATAACTGATAAATATAAAAAAAGAGTCTGGAAATTTCATGCTCAATTTTTTTCTAAGCAGAACTCTTTCTCGCCAAGGAGAATTTTACCCTAATATCAGTAGACTATACTATTAATCTGCATATAGATCTGGAGCCAGAGATTTTATCTGCCTGAGAAATGCACAATTCCTCCTTAGGTAAGCAAAGCAGAAAACAGCATCAGAAAAATAATTTTTTCCCTTCGACATCCTTTTCCTAGCCTTCAAAAGCCAAATGGATGCATAGACAGGATATGCAAAACAGTTCCGTAGTGTCCCAGCATCTGTATCAGCTGAATAACTCAAAGTAATGATAAACAATCACTGAGCTTAACTGATACCCTCAAGTTCACACTGATCCTGTTGCCAAAAGAAGTTGGGAAAAGAAGCAGAAAACTGCATCTTACTACAGTATATCTTTAGAATGCCTTCTCCAGAAAAAAAAAAAAATGGCCAAAAAAGGATTTCTTCAAAAGAAAAGTGACAGATGTATAAAGAGGAAAGGGGCCTCACTGAACACCACAGTAGAGTTTGAGTCCCAGAGAACAGTAGCATTTACTCGAACACAAGAGGAAAAGAAAGGTAGATTAGGGGTAGAAGGTGGCTGTTACTCACCTCTCCCACTTCACATCTTTTTTAGAGCCCCTTTCTACTCACAAATACAATCTAAGCACTCTAATTGTGCTGTAACAGCTTCACTTAAAGCAGCTGGCAAGGTTACTGACTCCTGGTATCTGTCCTGCCTGGCTACAGAGTCTTTTGTACTGGCTGTCAATCAACTCCTTAAGTCCTGGAGCTTCCTGCACACCAATTTCAAGCAAGCTGACATGGATTTCAGTTTGTGTTAAAAATCTGCTTTTTCAACCATGGTGGTGCAGGAATCAACAAAAAATCCTCAAATACTTCTATAAAGGGCAGTGAGTACAGTAGACAGCTAGGGCGCAATAACCTAATAGGCCCCAAGCTAAGTGTTCTTGTTTATCACTCAGAGCCTTAAGATTTTCCTAGTACTTCCAAAAGTCCAAGTTTTGGAACTTTTGAAAAGATGTTCCCAAGAACTGTTTAATATCCTCATCAGTAACATAGACAGTGGGATCAAGTGCACCCTCAGCAAATTTGCAGACGACACCAAGCTAAGCGGTGCAGTTGACACACCTGAGGGACGGGATGCCATCCAGAAGGACCTGGACAAGCTTGAGAAGTGGGCCCATGTGAACCTCATGAGCTTCAACAAGGCCAAGTGCAGGGTCCAGCATCTGGGCCACAGCAACCCCCCATAAATACGCGGGCTGGGGGATGAAGGGATGGAAAGCAGCCCTGCAGAGAAGAACTTGGGGGTACTGGTGGATGAAAAGCTGGACATGAGCCGGCAATGGGCGCTCGCAGCCCAGAAAGCCAACCCTGTCCTGGGCTGTGTCAAAAGAAGCGTGGCCAGCAGGTCGAGGGAGGGGATTATGCCCCTCTCCTCTGCTCTGGTGAGACCCCACCTGCAGTACTGCATCCAGCTCTGGGGTCCTTAGCACAGGGAAGACATGGACCTGTTGGAGCGGGTCCAGAGGAGGGCCACAAAAATGACAGGGTAATTAGATAAAGATAATGAGTTGTACTTCTCTGTACATATGTAGAGCACAGTATACCATGACTTTCACCTAGCAAGAGAACTCATTCACGCAGAATTTATACCTCAACAAATGCACTAAACTTTTTAACGTTATATTATTTAGAGCTTCCTTAATAACTAGCTCTATAGATAAGTACAATGCTAATACTTCAGTGAATTAAGGTTTACATGTATAAAACCTCTTCATTCTCAGAAGTGAACCAGGATGCTCTGGACATGTCCCACAGTCCGTGAAGGCATTGTCTTTTTATTGCAAGCAGAGTACCCCCCTGCCCCTTCATCTACCCATAAGCCATAATTAATAAACTTCTTAAATCAAGAAAATTAGTCTTAAAGTGTACTTTAAAGTATACTTTATCTCCTCCAGTTAGTCAGATAGGAAAGGGTCAGATGGAAAGCATGAGGGAAAGGTAAGGGATGTTTGCAAGAGCCATCTCAACTTCTGGTTCTGGCAAGCCAAGTTTCAAATTCCTATTTTCAGCCTGCTGTATTTCATATCATCAATGTGTGCCCACCATTTAATTGTAACACCCCATTTGCTTCACCCTCTTAAAATACATCAGCAGTTCTACTCTCTTTAAGGCATCAGAGTCTGGGATTAAAAGGCTCTCTTTACTGGAACCCAGGCAAAATGGACTGAACCAGAAGTATGTCTGCCTCTGAAGGTCCTTCATTTCTAGTTGGGAAAGAATAAGAATTCTAGGAGTATAGACTGGCTTCTACTATATACACCTCCCTTTAATTCTAAATAAAAGCAATTTACAGCTTGTGGTAGGTGGGTTGACCCTGGCCAGCAGCCAAGCACCCATACAGCCACTCACTCACTGCCTCCAGTGGGAGCAGGACAGAAGAGAGAGTGGGAAGAACAAAAGCAAGAAGATTCAGGTGTCAACAGTTTAATTAGTGAAGGAAAGAGAGATTAATTAGAGGGGAGGGGTGGAGCCACACAATCACTCACCACCTCCCCCAAGCAGATCAACGCCTGGCCAGCCTCTGAGCAATAACCACCTTGGAAGCCATGCCCCCCTCCCCTCCCTTTCTCCCTCTACCTCCTGTTTATATTGCTGAGCATGACTTTAGGTGGTATGGAATATTCCTTTGGCCAGTTCAGGTCAGCTGTCCAGCTGTGTCCTCTCTCAATCTCATGACCAACCCTAGCCTGCTCACCCGGGACAGGGGGAGGCAGAGTGTGGAAAAGAGAAAGCCTTGATGCTGTGCAAGCACTGTCCAGCAGCAGCCAAAACACTGGTCTGGTAGCAATACTGTTTTAGTCACAAATCCAAAACACAGCAAGGTTCAGGCTGCTATGAAGAAAGTTAACCCCATCCCAGCCAGACCCAGGACAGAGATATATGTTAAACCAATACAAAACACAATACTCACAGAAACATATTCAGGGATAGAAAGCTGATCTTCAGGAAGAGACTTTAGCTTCTCATAGCAATCCTCTGTTAATTCCAAGTCTCGCAAGCTACGACGGATATCTCCAGCCCTCTCCCTCAATTGATGATTCGTTTCCTCCAGTTGCTTCTGTCTCAATAAAATAGTTTCCATTTCTTGTTTCATTAGAGCCTGATGTTTTCTTCAAGATTGATTTGAAAACAGAAGACATTAAAGTAGCGAGTAACGTAAGTGACAAACCTTCATGATACCCTGGCAAGTGAGTGAGTTATGCTCATTTTGTAGAGGGGAAAATTTACAGAAAGATTAGGTAATTAGCAGAAGAGTGTATACCACCATGGTTACATAATCGTATCAGCCACTGTATACATAAAAAGCCAGGAACTTCATAGTCATTGACAATACAAAGCAGAGTCTGAGAAGTGACAATTAAACTGCACGTATGCTCACTTGAATTTATAAATTAGTCTTAAGTTACCAATTAAAAGATTAAAAACATGAAAAAGCAGAATATATTTCCACACAAAACCCAAGGAACTAGTAAATCACCAAATAAAACAATAGTAACTTTAATTTGTGTCTTGCCAAGTTTCAGCATATACACACTTATGGCCTATTCCACACACAACCCTTCATTTTCTACCCAGTGTAACATACAAAGCTGGGGCCCTTTTAAAAAAACAAACAAACAAAAAAAACCCAAAAAAACCCCAAACCATACACAAACACCACTACACTTAAACAAACAACTTCCAGCATTAAAACATTATAATTACTATTATCACCAGTGACAAGGTACTATACGGCAAGAGAAACTGTATGTCACTTAGAGATGTTTCAAAGTGTTTATTTTATTTTATTTACATCAAAGGCAATCGATCTCCTTTTTTGGAGGTTTTAGCTGTAACTCTTGAAAACATATTACATTTTGAAGAATGATTTAGTTTTAATAATTCCTACATTATTTAAAAGTAATACTAAAAATACTAGCTAGTACTACAAGGCGATGTCTGCCTCACTGGTTTCAAAAAGACAAAAGAAAACCCCAGGTCAGCAAAGCAATCGCACAAGGACATATTCTGCACATAATGTACAATTCTGTTAAACAGGGATAAAGAGTGAAGTAACAGACAGACAGGAAAACCAATGAAAAGGCTGGGGAAAGGAAAGTAGTTCAACTTTTTCATGCCTATTAATAACAATTTGCACATCAGTACTTTTTTACTGAACACTCCTCAGGTAATTCAAGTATGGCCAACATCAAAATATTCCACTCTGGTACAAATAAGCACACAGAATGACAGACATTTTTCTGACAGTCAGCTGTTCTTACTTGAAAGACTTTGCTGTAACTAATTTCAGCTCTGGCTTCACATCCCTAAATCTGTTCCAGGCTTACTACAGAATATGACTTTGAATTAGTCACATCCTGTAAGCGGGTGCATCCTCTACTGTAACAGGAAAAATATTAAGTAATGGTCTTCCTTCACAGTCCTATTACAGGTGTTAAGACGTTTAATTGACAATTTGGAGAAGCCTTCTAGCCAGTCTATTTTCAGCTATAGGTTGACTCAGAATGTTTTAGAATAGCAAGGAGAAAAGTAAGTTTCTACATCATCAACAGAAAGCATTTCTGATCAATAAGCAATCCTAACTGGAAGTGCTAAACATTATCTCCTTACCTTTCCCAAGTCATCCAGGCTGCAGAGTTATTAAAAATTCAGTTTAAATTGATGGAAAGTCTGCCCCCTCTACCTATTCCTTTTGCTGTTTACTGTGTTTAAGAACGTTCTTACTCGAAGTTCCTATTAAATTTTGAATCCAGGTAACAATAAAACCAAAATCACAAAATTCAGCCAGTAAGAGTTGAATTCAAATTTACTTACATGTAAATTAAATATGTAAGTTCCATTTTTAGAATGGAAATACTAATACAATCTGCAAAAGAAATCCTATTTCTGCAATTCATAGTCATCACTTTGCATTAACTGTCCATGAATTAATTTGAGTTCGTATTAATAAGTTACTAAAAATGAAGGGTTTTTTTGTTTTATCATACCTAGCATCTTCTTGCTGTAATGCCACCTGGCTATCCAGTCGTAAAGACAACAGCTGCTTTTGATGGATTGCATCATTAAGCTTCTCTTCTAGCTCTTCAATCTAAATGTAAAGAATATAAATATCAAATGAAGAAAAGAAGTTGGTAATTTTTAAAACATATTTGACAAAAAGAACAGCTTGAAAGAAAAAAGTGGAAAGCCCAATGCGCTGGGAAGTACAATAATGACTGTCTAACAAGACCTCTAAATATGCCAAGGCTTCATAAAATACAATATAGATTTTGCCTTAATGAACTAAAAATAAAAAAGACTTAGTTCTACAAACAAGTGATCTTTTTCAGCCAATAGCTACTTGTTCAGCTGATTTCAAACTAGGCTTAAACTCAGAGCAGCAAGCCAGTGAAAGCCACAGTTAGTATATAGTAGACTGTAAATATTGACTGCACAGAAACGTGGCAAAGCTTTTACACCTTTCTTAATTTCATGCATCTTAGTGGAAACTGTACACAAAAAATCTCCTATTAGCATGTTGGTATATTCTAGCCACATCTTCAATAAAAGATTATTGAATAGTATTCAGATTACTTTTTCTAGTTGTGCTGCTTTTGGCTGGGGTAGATTTAATTTTCTTCATAGCAGCTAGTATGGGGCTATGTTTTAGATTTGTGCTGGAAACAGTGTTGATAATACAGGGATGTTTTAGTTATGACTGAGCAGTGCTTACCCAGAGTCAAGGCCTTTTCTGCTTCTCACATCACCCCACCAGCGAGTGGGCTGGGGGTGCACAAGAAGCTGGGAGGGGACACAGCTGGGACAGCTGACCCCAACTGACCAAAGGGATATCCCACACCGTATGATGTCATGCTCAGCGTATACAGCTGGGGGAAGAAGAAGGATGGGAGGGATGTTCAAAGTGATGGCGTTTGTCTTCCCAAGTAACCGTTAGATGGGACGGAGCCCTGCTTTCCTGGAGATGGCTGAACACCTGCCTGCCGATGGGAAGTAGTGAATGAATTCCTTGTTTTGCTTTGCTTGCATGCACGGCTTTTGCTTTACCTATTAAACTGTCTTTATCTCAACCCACAAGTTTTCTCATTTTTACTCTTCCGACTCTCTCCCTCATCCCTCTGTGGGGGAGTGAGCGAGCAGCTGTGCGGTGGTGCTTAGTTGTCAGCTAGGGTTAAACCACAACACTAGTATTCCACAAGATCAGGTTAAAAGCTGTATTAAGTTGCTTACATCAGTGACAAAATTACTCATAACTTCTAAAAGAATACAGGTCTTTTCCCTTTGTTTTTAGACAAGAGAAAACTAATTCGATCCCCCTCATCCATTTACAGGTATAACGCCTTGGACAAATCAGCTAAGTTTTACATATCTTTGTTTCCTCCTTTTCTCATTTAAGAACAAAACCAAACAAAACAAAACCCTAAGTAGGCTTCCAGTATGCAATTCACAGAATTTCTTTTCAGAATAGAAGCTTCTACTGTACTCTAAAAGCACCAGAAACAAGAAAAGATTATATGACAAAAGAAGCAACATTTCTTACCTTGGTCAAATATTCTACTTTCAAGTTGTCAATCATCAAGTTTTTTTGAGATAATTCTATTTTAAGCAGCTGAAGATTATGGAGCAACTCTTTCCGTTCAATCAGCTGCTTAGTGATTTTAACAGTACCTTCTCTCTCTTCAGAGGAAGAAACATCATCAGTTGGTATTGTGGTTTCTAAGCTAATATCTTCAGACTCCAAGGAGCTAGAAATGTTTACTTTCCTGACTTCCTTGGAGCTTTTGTGTGACATTTTCTTCCACTATTTGCAAAGCTTTTCTAAGTTATACGTTGGGATAAGCCCCCTGAAGAATCAACTGCAAAAATTAAAACAATTAAGGCATTATGTCATTACAAAAAATTAACCAGTTAAACAAGACCACTAAGCAATACTTCTCAGCATCACATGAATATATTTTTTTGTTCACCCAAGAAAAACATTTTAAGAAGCTCTGAAGAAGAGTGTTGCCTGATGACTCTCTTCCTAAATAATTATTAGCAAGAGTTTTGACTGCAATAAGCTAAATACTGGTGCGAATCAAGCTTACTAGTAAGACATTATGGCTAAATCAAGATGTGTACCTGCCATTTACAGTCAGAAGAGCATGCACTGAAAACTGCCGAGACCCATGAGGGATACGGAACATACTACAAGTGGCGTAACAAGACTAACTAGAGAAAATGGTAAAGCAATACTTTGATGCCCACCTTTGTCTTCTCTAAAGAAGTAGCTCCATTGTTCTTACCAGGCTAACTTGCTAGTACTTTCCAAAAGCGAGCGACTTAACAGTCACACATGCTTCTACAACCCCTTGGTATAGACCGCAGCTTTTACTTAAGAGATGCGCCAACGCGGGCTGTTCAGAGCCCCACAGAGGAGGGAGACGCTGCACTCGGAGCCCAGGCCAGCGCCCGCCCCGTGGCGAGGGGCCCGCCGGCGGCCAGCTCTCCCGGGCCGCTGCCGCCTCCACAGGGCAGCGCCGCCACCCCCCCCCCCCTCCCGCCCGGCGGGGGGGAGCAG